GGGGAAGGGAGGGAGAGGAGGAGGGGAAAGGGGATGGGTGGGAGGGGGAATCAGAACCCACCGGCAGGTTTGTTTGAGTAATCCAGCTGGAAGAAGTGGGAGAGGGGAACACTGAGCTATACATAAAGAGTTCATTTCTTGGTGGGAAACGATAAAGAGTCGGCAGTCCTATCTACCCTTGGCGAAAGGTTGCTATCAATAGTTTCGATAGTGAAATTGTGGTTAGTATAAATGCAAGTATCGGCTGCAATCTTCATGGCTTTCCGGGCAATGGATTCGGCGTCCATGTCCACAACATCGATGAGTGCACGTGCCGCAGCAAGAGCAAGTGAGCCGCCTGATCCAATCCCGATGATGCCATCGTGCGGCTCCAGCACGTCCCCATTGCCAGTTATGGTGAGAGACAAATCAGGGTCTGCCACGACCATCACTGCGTCCAGCCGCCTGAGGTATTTGTCTGTTCTCCATGCCTTAGCCAATTCCACAGCCGCGCGTGTCAACTGACCGGGGTGCTCGTCCAGCTTGGCCTCCAGCCTTTCAAACAGTGTGAAAGCATCGGCAGTCGCCCCTGCAAATCCACCAATCACGTTGTCGCCAATCCGACGAACCTTACGTACATTGGGCTTGATGATTTCCGATCCAACAGTCACCTGACCATCCGCAACGATTACTACCTTCCCATCCTTCCTTACACACAAGACAGTAGTTCCCATCATTGCCCGAGGATCACCATGATGATGAGCATGATAACCGTCGTGTTGGTAGTAGCCTCGAGATTGATGATGGCTGTTCAGATGACAGATACCACCTCCAGGTCGTTGCCGATGACGCCATGAAATGTTCTTGGCTTCTTTGAACTCTACGCCGCCAAACGAGCACTTGTTATTGCTCATGCTTGAACACCAGTTCGGACCTGCTTGTGCAGCAGGCATACCTTCCCAGAAACCCGTAGGATGCTCCACCGCTGCTTGGCAAATAGCAGGCAGCTTATGGCCCCCCATATGGCTACGAAGCCCAATCAGTCTCCGAGCCATCTCTCTCTCTCTCTCTCTCTCTCTCTCTCTCTCTCTCTCTCTCTCTCTCTCTCTCTCTCTCTCTCTCTCTCTCTCTGTGTGTGTGTGTGTGTGTGTGTGTGTGTGTGTGTGTGTGTGTGTCT